TTCCCTGCTTGTAGACATCATATATTTGAAAGACATATTACCCACTTTAACAAGATATGTTCCAGAAGTAAAACGCCTGGCCCAGAAAACCAACTCTTTAAACACCTGAATTCTGTCTGGAATGATCTTGAAAAAGACATGGTTACATTGAAGAGGTTTGAAATTTCAAATGGAACTTGGATAAATAAACAACATCTTGAGGCTGAAAAATTCTACAGAGATGTAATAGATAAGAGGATCTACAAAAAGGTTAATTACAGTTTGTAGTAGCTTGCTTAAAATAATTTAAACAATCTGTATAATAAATCACAATCATAAATCACTAAATACAATCATAATATAATAAATAATAATCATAAATCATAAAAAAACCTTTTTTTTTTAGGATGGTAAATCAAGAAAGAAATATCAAGATTTAGTGAAACTAACTTTGATGCTAGTTTCTCAAAAAGATACGTTCAAATTTTGTATTACTGGTCCAATACATCATGTAAGATTCATATCAAAAGCGTTGTATTACCTTAAAATGTATTTACTATTGAAAGCTATTCCAAGTTTGTCAGAAGAAAATAAAGAAGAAATTTGTGAATTGGCTTGTTTGTCTCAATTGTTTCTTAGAGCAGCATCAGCAACTGCTGCGCCATATCAAAAATAATAATTTTAGATAAGAAAAAGCGTAAAAAATGATGAGTTAATTTTCCAATTGATGACTTAATCTAATATTGTTAAACATATTTTTAGGATATGAAAGCTCTGTGGCAGATGAAGAGTTTCATGGATATAAATCTTCTTGGAGTTACTTTAGCAATAAAATCATTTGACAGACTCAGCTGGTACCTTCATCCTGCCTTAGTTGTGCTTGCATTAGCAGTTAAACGTTGCCCAAACAGAGAAGATATTGCCACATCATTATTCAATAACCTCCCCACCAAGCCAATAGTGTATCCACTTGAACATGTTATGGTCAATAAAGAGGTTCTTCACTCTCTAGGTTTTTTAATAGATCTGCCTCCATTTCTTTGTTCTCTAATAACTGAGCGATCTTGGCACAAAGAAAAAAGATTTAACATCAAATGTAATTAGTAGTATTATAAAATGCTGATTGTTGGTTATGTAATCAAAGTTTAAAATTATGTTAATTTTATTTTTATTTATTCCCAATTCTCTACCTGCAACTTGTAACAAGGTTATATTATTAGGGGAGTGGTAATTCAACTTTATCTAAATTCATCTCTAAGTTTAACATCAAAAATTATGTAAAACATTAAACTAGATTTTGTAATAAAAATACCATAGAACTATACGTTGAGCTTTAAACCCCCTCTTTTTGGGGAGGGTGGCAACTTTACATGGTTATGACTTTTGAACGCTACTATATATTTGAATAAAGTTTGAAATTTGTTGATAAATGTAAATTTAGTTCAGAACAACAATAGTGTAAATTTGGGCAATTTATTGCCCTCACCTTTAGGGTAGAGAGGAAGGCTAAGTTTTAAAGTTTTTCTAAATCTCAGGCACTGGTCACTAGAATTCTTTCAAAGCATCACAATTTGATATAAGTATAGGTATACGTAGTTTTGAAGTTTTTTTTTACATGTCTGCATGTTATTTATCACAATCAGCAACAAAAGTTACCGCGTTCACTGAAATAAAGAAAATTGTTTTTTTGTCAATATTTAGCAACTATTCTAAGTTTTTCAGTGTTGAAAAAAAAATACAAATAAAGTGTCTTTTTATTTTTTTATATAGGTTCTTAAAAGAATATATAAAAATAATAATTTGAATTTAATAGTGTTTAAAGGTAGCACACGCAGGTTGAAAAATGTATAAAAAAGGTAAAAAAAAAAAAAAAAAAAAAAGTACTTTTAAGCCGTGTGCCACCCTTAAACTTCAAAAAAAAAAAAAAAAATACTATATATAAAACAAAGGTCTCTGCACCTTTGTTTTATATATAGTTTTATAAAAATTTTTGACCTAAATTTAAACCACCCTAATGTTTGCTGCTTAGCTACAGTATGCTAATCACTATTAGTAAGTGACCGGAGTTGATATTTTACCAGGGCCGGGGCAAGGTTATACTACCTGAAGGATATTTTTTCAATTCAAAATTCATGTAATATTTTGTATATATATGCATATATAATCATGATAATCAACATAATCATCATTACGATCATGATCGTCATCATCATAATCATTATCATCATCATTATCATGATTATTGTCATCATCATCAGGCTTTAGCCTTCCTCTTTTAAGCTGTTTCTTTGATATAAACAATCTAGATCATTTTCTTTCCTTAACTAAAACTCATTCATACAATACGTAAGGGCCCTCTTTATGTTTTTTTACTTCTACCACTGCCATTTTCTCCTGAAGCGACTACCTCTCTATATGCTAATACCTAAATCACTTTATTCTTCTCTAACAAATGTTGCTTGATAGCATGTTTTTTTCTTATCTGTCTAAGATTATGCCTCTATTTCTAATTTTCTGTCAGTCACAGCACACATCAATCAAATCATCTTCTCTTTCTGTAAATACTACACCATATAAGTCATAAAGTTAATGTAAATAAGAAAGGATATTGTATGCCAGCATCTAATGAATAATAAACATATATGTTTATATCCATAATATGTAAAATTGCATCTAAAAAGCTTTTATTCCTTCCTGAATAAATGCTTGTAACCTTCTATTCCTTCTCTTCAATTTTCAAGTGAAGCCTCATTCGACTCCCCATTTTTCACCATCTTGAGCGGTTGTGTTTTTAGGCAGAAATCTTTTTTTTTTTTTTTATCTCTCTTAAGAACAAATATCATTATATTATTCCAAGAAGCCAATGCTAAAAGATCCTCTCTAATGTTAAGCTATGTTGTTCTCAGTTTACTTAATCTTGTATGTTATATCAGATGTTAAGTTCTAGAGACTTTAGGTAAATCTTCAACAGTTTCATTAACGTAAGTGTTATTAAAATAAGTCTAAGATTAAATTTCTAATTCATGGGTCTGATTTTCTTACTATTTACATTTTAATTTGACTTTTAAATATAATAGCCATACTATTCCTGCCAGTTAAACAGATTAACCCATTGTAAAACATCCAAATCTGACTTCCTACATTATGTTAATTCTCAATTAAACTTCCACAGTTTTTGCTCTAGGCAAGATTTCCATAGTCTTAAAAAGTGTTTTCCAGAACTCTCTTTAACTTTAGCTAAATTTTTAAATGGTGCTAAATAAGTGGTTTCAAATTTTCAAAATTCTAGAAAACATTTTGTACTCTCCAACTATCCTACAATTAGCCTTCACTCTTTTAATACTTTCTTTGTATAAAGGTTTTAAGGTTATTAAACAAATTTTTTTCTAATTGCAGTATTAATGTTGTTCTTGAAGGCCTACACTCCTCTTTATATCATCTTTGTTTTTGTAATCTTTCTTATTTACAATAACAATTTTTGTGAAAACTTTACATCTAAATTAGGGCCCTGGAAATCTATTGGATTCGGAATTAAGTGTCATTTCGTTTTGAACTTCTTTTCAAAAAAACTGATCTAAGTTTATCGAATCACTATTTTGTGAGTTGTTTTTTTAGATATCCAACACTAAGATGTTATTAAAATTATTTTTATATATCTCAGCCAGAGTAAAGTATTTGTAATTGAATGTAATTGTAATTCTGCTTCCGAACAACTGGTAAAAAACTATTCTTGACTAAAAAAAAAAAACTTTATTTTTTTAAACTATTCCTGGCAAAATTTTTTATCAAAAACAGTTTAAAAACCGCAAAAAAGTAAATTTTTTTTGTCAAAAAAGATGACTAAGTTTGGATATCCTCATGTTGCTGATTTAATTAGTGATTCGATTTAAATCAAGACCTGTTTCAACTCAAGATTCAATTCGTAACTAAAAATGCTGAAAAAAGGTGACTCAATTTGTTGACGACTCAACTTTATACTCTTGTCTTGACAAAATATCTTCACTTTTTGGTTGCTTAGAACAAGCAAACAGTTTTTAATCTGAACTCTCTTTTGTAACAGCCTAAGGCTTGCAGTGGCTTGTGGATTTAAATTCTGAATATAAAATATATATATTTTTTTGGACAAAACTCATTTATTTAATGCAAAAAAAAATTGCAATATTGTTGGCATTGGCTATATTGAGGAATAACAACCCTTATACTCTCATACTGTCTAAAAGCACATTGTTAATGTAGTTAGGCCTGCTGCATCTGCCAAGCTTTAGTCACTCTACCATTGTTGTAAGATTGCATTTCTTTCTTTTTTCTACAAATACCATCATGGCCAATGCTCAAACGAGCTATTATCTCAATTATGATAAACCAAAACTCATTTTTACTTGGTTTTTTATTCTACAAGTTGCATCTTTTTTACTGTATCTTTCCCTTCATTTTATAAAAAATTTTGTTAATCCAGTTTTTTTCCTTGCACTTCATTAATTCTTTATAACTCTTTCCCATCTTCATGATTTCCTTTTTTATACAAATTACAAGTTTTTAAGTCTTCAGTTACTCTTTTCCTAGTATTTATTTTAGTATTTTTTTTCCTAGTGTTTTAAAGTAACTCATGACTTAAAAGTGGTTGCTTGTAACCTTGTTTGAAGTGAATTTGAGTTTAAAAAAATATAAATGTATGCCAGTATTTAATAAATAGTAAATGTAATCAAAATATTGTAATAAATAAAATATTATAAATTTTTTTCTGGCCCCAGCTATCAACATATACTAAATCTTTTAATTTTGCTAGTGTTGGGTTTGCAAAAAGTCTCATTTTTAGTGGAAGCCCCGGTTACTTCTTGTTACCCCGGTTACACTGTTTTAGTTATTTTAAATAAAAAGTTGTGTTTTATAATAAAATTAAGTTGTTTTTTTTTGAAAATTTAAATTTGGTATTTAGCAATTATAAAGGGCTAATAAAATTTTTGATTTTTTTAAGTTTATATCAAACAAATAAAACTATTTAATAAATTTTCTAATTTTAGATCAATTATGCGCTCCAGAAAAAATAAAGTAAGTTTTTTTTTATTTTTATAATCTTGTGTAATACAGTTTTAGTAAAAGTTTCCCGTTTTTGAAAAAGAAGTGGCTAAGTTTTATAAATAATGAAATCTTTATTTTTGATTAAATGTTAAACTTTGCATTTTTAACTTCAATGTATTTGATTTTGATCAAGGAGAATATTTTAGGTGAGGCTGATCTTACTCCTGACTGCCCTCTCTTCCTACCATAAAAGTTTTACTATCATTATAATAAAATGCAAGTTTAATATAAAACCAATCTGTTAAGTGTAAAAATACCATGATTTGCCTCTGTTCTGTAAGCAGCATTTAGCGGAAAATATCTTTTTATACTATGTGGTTAAGAGTCCCATGAAACTACTTAAATCAATTAAAAAATGAACATGATTTATTTTCACTTTAAATAAGCCATTTATAATAATAAATTACTTTATTTAGAGTTTAAATAACTTTTTTTTCGTTTTTTTTTTTGTTTACTTAGATTTAATTGTTTAGAATTTAAATAAAACATTATTTATTTTGTTTTTATTTACATATTTTATTTAGAATTTGAATAAAACGTTCATTTTTCCGTTTTTAATATAATTGAAATACCAAATAAAATCAAGCATTAAAATTCTAAAGTTGTCAATTTTTTGCTAACTTCATACAGTTAGGTCAGCATTGCTTTTTTGTATCTATGTTTTTTATCTTTATGATTGTATCTATATAGGGCAAGTTAATGTACTTAGGTATATTTAATAGTCTTTCAATCTTTTTTGAGCAATTATTACTAAAGTAATCAAGAGGAAAATAACCATTTAGTTTTATTTTCATATAAAATTCAAATATACTAATTAAATGCTGATTTGACTAATTAATTCCTAAGTTAAGCAATTATACCCTGTTTCGTTTTTAGAGAACTAATTTATTGATTAGTAATAGTAATATATATATATATATATATATATATATATATATATATATATATATATATATATATATATATATATATATATATATATATATATATCTGCATAAATAATATTTCACATAGTATTTATAAATATAAATTTATATAAACTAACTGTGCAGCCCACCAACCGTAGATGGTGTACTAAAGCACCCCAAGCTTAGCCTGTTAAGTAAAATTTTAAATTCATTGACTAATTTTGATTTTTTTATTGTCATTCAGAAGATTGTTCCACTCTTTAACAAATCTGTTTATAAAAATAATGTCGAATAATTGAGTTTTTGACAATCTTTTCGCACAAAATTTTCTCTAATATTTTCTGTTAAAGGTGAGTTCCACTCTATTATTTCTAAATGATTTTCTAGCTTAAAAAGATCAGGTCTGATCTCCGTGATTTCTTATTTTTGTGATTTTTTTATTTAAGGCTATTCATTTGCTCTTTATACGAAGATTTTTCATTCAATGTGCAACTTTCGTAGCTCTTCGTTGAACTTGTTCAATTTTAAAAGTATTTCCTTCTAGAAATGGTCTCCATGCAGGCATAGCAAATTCTAGATGCGGGCAGATATAAATGGTATATAGCCAAGTATACTATTTGCTTTTGTTACTATGTAATTTACATGTGCATGGGTTTTAGGTCTTTGTATATAATAACTACTAAATCTCTTATTGTTTCGGTTTTTTTAATTTTAAAAATACATCCATTGGCGTTTGTGATTCAGTATTCATGATTTAGTTTTTTTTTTTTTACCTATTTGCATAGCCATGCACTTATCGATATTTTGTTCCATAAACCACATGTTGCACAAAGCTGAAATTCTGTTAATACTATCCTGAAGTTCAAGCAAATTTTATTAATGTGTGTTTGGTTTGATAGGTTTTTATAAACTTAAAATCATCAGTATAAATAAAACATTCAGTTTCGAGTTCTCTTGGTAAGTCGTTTATGTATAATACAAATAGAGTAGGTCTAAGAACTGATCCCTTTGGTACACCACGTGTTACGTTCACCCAATCTTTAAATCATGACCCATAACTACCTTCTGCCTTTTATTCGTTAGAAAAGCCTCAATCCAATTTTGCAATTTTTTATTTAGACCATGCATTGATAATTTAAGCATTAATCGTCGGTGTGCCACTCTCTCAAAAGCTTAAAAAAAATCTAAATATATTACATCAACACTGCTTTTACTAGCTATACATTTTTCACCAAATCTGTGCATTCGAGTAGATAGCACAAAATTTTTTCGAAATTTAAAAGGATTAAGTTTTGGGATTGGTTTAATAATCAATTGTAATTCAATGAAGGGTAAGTGCTACGATTCATCTTCTTGTATAAAAACTGATTGGAATTGTTTGTTCAATCTGTTACCTTTACCCTTACCCGTTGTTGAAATAGTATCATTTTGATAGTATAATGCATTAATTATGTTAGATTTAATTGCTTGTCTATCGCTTATATATGAATACAGCCGTTTAGGATTATTTTTATCGTTTGCCAAATCCATTTCATATTTCTGGACACATTTTTTATTTTATTTTCAACTGAGTTGCGTACTACCTTATATTCTTTAATTAATGATTTAGACGTCTATTTTAAAGCCTTATTGCCATGCCTAAACTTGTTTTGTTTTTTTAATAATCTGTTATAAATAAGGCCTTAAGCATTTATTAGACTAAAATTTTTTTTATATACCTTAATTGCATAAATATAAAGTAAATATTACTTTCAAAACTTTATTAAATCGTAGTTATTCTCTAATATATAAAAATATTTGTATATTTTGCAATATTTGGATATCAAGTTCTATATTTATATATGTAAATGAGTTAAAAAGATTTTATACTTTTATAATAGTGTACTACACTATTAAATAAAGGTTATGTTCTTCTATAACTTTTTGCCTCATTTTGCAGAAAGATCATGTATACTGAAGACATGCTTTGTAATCAAGTGATTTTATTACAATTGATTCAATTTGTTGGGCAAGATTGGAAGTTTTTTGGACATGTATTAAATATTGAAACGAGTGATTTATACATAATTGGTGAAGACAGTATCGTTAAAATATCATACTTCATGTTTGCAAAATTGATGGAAATACATGCTTCAACTGTTGAAAAGTTAATAACAGATTTAGGGAAAATGAATAAAAAGGGTAAGAGAATAAATAAGAGAAGTAGGCATTCAAGTAATTCTTTAATGATTGCTGTTTGTGGTTTAATGATTTAATGATTTACTTATTTTTTATATGGTAAATGTTCACATACTGCTAAAAGTCTTTTTACAAGCGATAGGCTTCAGTTACTGTATTTTTTAATATGGATCATTTATAATTTAAGATTATATGATTGATGAAGACAAATAAGCTTTTGCTAAAATACCTTATTTTGTCTTACAAAATTGATGAAAACGATGGAAACGTATAAGTAAGATAAGTAGGTTAACATTCAAGTAATTATTTAATGATTGTTTTTTGTGGTTTAATAATTAAATGATTTATTTATATTTTATATGGTAAATATTTACATTTTTAAGACTACTTACAAGCAATGCGCTTCAAATAATATGTTTTAATATTAATGTTTTAATATAATTTACTAATTCAAATTTGTAATTTTTGCTTATATTTTAGAGAAAAAAAAAGTAAGTGTTAAATGTATTACTACGTAATAATAGTAGTGTTAAATGTACTGTTTTGATAAGTCATCTACCGTTTGTCTTGTAGGATTATATATATATATATATATATATATATATATATATATATATATATATATATATATAGAGAGAGAGAGAGAGAGAGAGAGAGAGAGAGAGAGAGAGAGAGAGAGAGAGAGTGCTTAATGCATTAGCTTAACACAATTTTGACGTCATAAAATTATCTTTATTTTTTTTATAGACGTTAAGTGTTTTAACTACCACAATAAATAAATAACCGCAAACTAGTTCAATTTAACAATTAACTCAAATAACTATAAACGTTTTAAATGTAAATTTATTATGAAAATTTTGTAATGCGTTTAATTGTTATTTTATTATTAATTTTAGTTCAATATTATTTAGTAAAATATATATATATATATATATATATATAAATTATTTCTGAAATTTGTTTTTGAATAATTGTTTTTAATCGTTATTGAATAAAAAATGTTTTTTTTTATTTTTAAAAATTTCTAGAGTAAACAAAAAATATTAAAATGGATAAACACAAACCCATGTTAATTATTTAAACAACGATTTTGTTTTGACTAGCAAAGAAAAATTTAGGTTTTTAAATATTTTTTAAATTAATCTTGTTTAGCGTTTTAACTTGCATTTTATAAAAATATAAAAAAGTTTTGTCTGCTTTGAGAATATTTTTGATAAATAGTTTAGAACGCGTTCGCCAGGATTTTAATTCAAAACTTTAATCGTGCAAACTTAAAAAAATACTCAACTGAAATAGTTTAAGTATATTTAATAATTTGAATCGTATCTGTTTATAATAAACGTTTGTAAAAATTTCTTTATTAAAAATTAAGTTCCTTAACTTATAAACAAACTCAAAAGTATTGTCATTCTACGTATAATTACAAAACTCTTTTTTTTTCGCGTGGAAGCAATTTAACTTAATAAAATAAAAAAAGAATAAATATGAGGTAATCTTTGTTTAGAACAAATTTAATTTAACTATATTGAACTATATTTCTATTTTTAATTAAATATCAACTTAATTAAAATTCAAAGTCCCAAGATTTAAAGTTTTTAAAGTAAACCTTTTGTCCTTCAAAATACAATCCATATTCGAAACTAAAAAAAGAAATATACAAGGTTTTTATATACTAGTTTGTTTTGTTTTATAAAGAAAAATACATATTCATTAGTAAAAAAAATGGAGTCATTAAACTAAAACGTGCCTTAGTATTTATTTAACGGAACCTGTAATATGCGCGTGCATAATGAAACCTCCGTTATATAAATATATTCAACGTAATATTAGTGTCATCAGCGGATGTTGTATTCAGGAATTATCTTTTTCCGGATATATCCGGAATTCCGGATATTTTTAAATTTTTTTATATTTTCCGGATAATTGAATAATTTTCGAAAATACAATTTTTAAAATTTTTTCTGTTTATTACTGTCATCAAATGAAACAGTAACAAGTAAATATAAACAGTAAATTTGTTGTCAATAAATTACGGAACGCTATATTTAGTAAACAAACAAAGCCAAAAAAAAAAATGAATAAGCATTTTAATTAAAGTTTAAGAAAAATCCCAGCGCAAAAGAGCGAATGATCTCCTACTTTTAAAATAAAATGCGTGTCATAAATAAAAATAATCAAAAATAAATAATCAAAAATAAAATGCGTGTCAGCGATGCGTGTCAAACTCTTCTCCTTTTTAAAAATATTGTAAATTTACATTTTTTAACAAGCTCTTTTAGCTATTATCAAAGAGATTTCTTTTTTTATTGTTAAAAACTTTCTTTTTTCAAGTAAATCACTTCGCTTATGGACTGAATCTTTTTTCAGTTTGTTTGTCGGTGGTTCAAAATTTACTGCATCATTATTTCGTTTTCTGTCCAGTCGTACCATTGCAAGTCTCTTTTTGTACACACTTCTTGAAAGTATCATTTTTTCGCATAATTTCTTATTAATTGGAGACTTTAAAAAGTTTTGACGATGGTAGAATAAACGGTACTCGTTTAGAAATCAGTTTTTAATTTCCGTCAAATATGAGAAATATCGTTAAATTTAAACTCTTTTGAGATTAGTAAAATCTAATTCTAGACAACAGTGAAACAATGTATAGTTTGATCTAAGAATAAGAAATTTGGTATGACCTTCAACTAGTAGAAACTTTTATTAATCTTACAGTTACTATAATACCGTGGTGTAACATTATGGTCATGCGGTACAACTTGTTTTCGTAAAGGGTGAAAAAAACTTATAAAAAAAATTTATTATTACTGACTAAGATTAATTTCTTTGTTAGTAATAAGTTATTTCATACAAATAAGTGTTATATAATAAAACTATATTCTAAACTATAAGGATTTTATTCTATGTAATTATTTTAAAGAAATCTAAACATATGTACTTTGACTAAAGGTCAAGTGAATCAAATTGCTTTTAAATGCCATTACTAGGTTTTTAAAAACATCGCATTTCGAGGCACGTTTTCTTTTCAATTCAAAAAGTGCCTGTTAAAATAAATTATATTTTTTCAAAAAAAGTCACATTTTTAAAAAGATTTAAAAATATGTTGTTTTTTTTTTTTAATTTAAAAGATTTTAAAAAAATCATTTTTTTAAATCTTTTAAATTTTGAATCGTATGAATGATCACGTGAATCATTAAAAATGCCTCGCCTTTTGTTTATCATAGTTAAAATAAACTTAAAATTTAAAAAGTTTAAACTTTTTTAGTTTTTGAACGTAGAGATTTTTTTATAAAAGAAGACTTTGTAAATTAAGTTAATAACATTTTAAACTCTGAGTGGAAGAACTAATTGTAGAAAACTAACTGATTAAAGAAAAATAATTCAATATCTTTTTATTTTTTATTTATTTATTTTCTTTTTTAACATATTTATTACAAAAGATTTCTAATTTTTTGTATTTTAGAAGTCTGGTGTTTAGTATTATTATTAGTTCCTTTTTTTTTTACTGCAATTGAAGTATGCTCCGAAAATAGTTAAAAAAAAAATCATTTATATTTTCCAAAAGTTGGTGTTTTACAGGTAATAAAATGTTTACTGAAAGAAGTTGGCAAGCAAAAGTCTCGGATATATGTCGGTTTATTTTGTAAAATTACTACAAAAAAACCAAAACGCTCAAATAACGTCTATGGGATTTCAGTTATGGTGGCGCCTCTGATCTCTAACAACGCGTTAAACGTTTATCTATTTGTATATCTTTGGTGAATTGAAGCAATATTTCATTATCCATTATGTATTTAAATGTATAAGTGCATGTCTAAAACAGTTTCCGCATTGTTTAACAGCATTTAAATATAGTCAAGGCCGGCGCGATAGGGGGGTGTGGGCAAATGTCGTTATGGCAATTTTTTTTTTTTTTTTTTTTTTTTTTTTTTTTTTTTTTTTTTTTTGAACGGCAAAAGTTGTAATGGCACCCCCACCCCCTACGTGACCCCTAATCGCGCCGGCCCTGAATATAGTTTTCTACTTCTTCTTTGACTTTATCTTCTTATTATTATTATTATTGTTAAAATTTTATCATTATTATTATTCTTTTTTTGATGAAAAAACTATGCAGTTTTTTATTTATCTATACGGTGAATAAGGATACTCTTAAACTGGCGTAATATTATAGTAATATAAAAGAATGGAGGAGAGCACGCCCCCTCCCTCCTTGTTAACATCTCTTTGTAAACTCCAGATATTACAAAAAAATTTTCCGGATTTTTTCCGGATATTTAAGGAAAAAAAATCTCCGGATTTTTATAATATGGCCAGGATAATCTATGGTTGTATTCTACTCATGATTTCTTTACCTTATAATATAACTTGATTTATGAAAAAAAAAACTTATTGAATTGCACGCAGAAGAAATTTTACAAATTGTCTTCATTCAAATATTGCGAGTAACAGGTAATTTTTTTTTTCTGTGCCGACCCCCTTTCCCCCGCATAATTTAAAGGTGAAGGTATCTATATACCTTTAACTAATAAGAAAAGCAAAGACATTTTTATAATATCTCGAAAAAATGTCTTAATATTTTTGTTATCATTATTAAGACATTTTTTGAGATATTAAAAAAAATGTCAATTCTTAATTACAAATTTTTTTGCAAATATTTTTTATTATAAATTCATTAAAAAATTCTTAAAAAATCTATATTACAAAAAACATTTATATTCTGTATTAATAAATATGGAATATAGATTTTTTTAAAGTTTTTTACTAAAAACTTTAAAAAATTACTACTTTATATTAAAAACATTGCAAAAAATTCGTAGTTAAAGATTGACAAACATTTTTTCATATTGTTAAATATTTGGATAAAAAGTTTAGCGTTAAATTAATTGCTATAAAAAGGAAAGATATATCGCGATGAAAAGTTACAACAATTAGTTTTAAAGTAAATTCTTTTTTCTAATAAATATCTTTACATATCGTTATTTAAAAGTTAATGTGGTTTTTTTAAA